TCAGTCTCCACCATCATTCTTGCACGGAATGGCGCTTGCATTATGTTGTTAGATGCCACAGTTAAGGTTGCCCAGGTATCTCAGCTATGCCTGCAACTGCAACATTCTCTGAATTTCTTGAATTTTAATACTGGTTTTGAGATACTTACAGAATTCCTGTTGCCAATAAAGTTGCAAATGAAGTCCCACAACTGTATTTTTTTTAAGTATTAATTTTAATATAATTCAGAGTTCATGTGTTGAAATGTCTCCAAAAATTGATACAAAAAAAAAATCAGAAAGATTTTACTCATTTACACAGAAACTGAATTTTAGACTGAGAGTTACAGAATAAACCTTGAATTTAAGGCCCTTTATATTCAGTCATTCCTAAGTTCCACCATCTCCTCCATCCTGTCTTTAGAAAGTCTTCATCATTTGATTTCAGTTTTCCCACCCCCTGTTAAACTATATCCATAAAATACAAGTTTTACAATATCCTGTATTTTATAAACCATGGAGTAACTTTTGAAAAGCCAAAAAAAATAAAACTAAAGACAGTGTGGCTAAACAACAAGGCCAAGAGACTGTTAGAGGTAAGAAAATACTGTTCAAAAAGTTGAAGTCATGCCCAAACAAGTTCAGAACCACCACCTTTGGCACATTCAATATAAAATCACGATAAAAATGGCCAAAAATATTTGAGAAACAACTTGCTAAAGGCATAAGAACTAATACCAAATGCTCCTTGAACACACAAAAGCAGGAAGCCTGCCAGCATCCACAGAGCCAACAGATGATCAAGATGTAAAAGCATGTCTTCAAATAATACATGACCATTGAAAAAAAGCTACATGAATTTGGAAATACTTTTGATGAAGTACTTTTATGGTGATGCCTTCTTTTTCTTTTTTTTTTTTAATGAGGAAGGTATTGAAAGACGTCCCAAACTGAAGCTTCAATAGAAGGATTTTAGAACAAAATTAACAAAAATTCAAGTATAAAACCTACTGAGTTACTAACTGTGGCAATTCAGCTAACACTTTTCTTTTTCCAAGAAAGCTTCTACAAAGGTAAACCATCACAGAATAAGAAACACATTCCCAGCAAAATTTAAATAACTCTGCTCCTAAGTACAAAAAGAAATGAGAAGTCTTGAGAAAGTCATCCTGACCTACTAAAAACAAAAGTATCTCCAGCTTATGAAGTCCCAATATCAGAAATTGTTAGAAGCTTGGATAACATGGTGGAGGTGCTTTTCTCAGTCCTGCACTTTTCCCTGGAGACCCTGAGACACCCTCTATCTGAAACAGGACACCAAACTATCTGGAGGTCTGGTTTAGACCCAACGTGTCCATTCTTACATTCCTGCCAATTCTGCACGGATTTCAATGTGCAAGAGTTTGTTTTCTGTACACTCTGAATTACTATTCCAAACTCTCCTTTCCCCACACCACAGGTTTTCCCCAACCTGTCTGCTCTCTTGCTTATCATAGCCTCCAAAAACCAAAGACATGAGCAATTTCATAGGCATGGAACTAAAATTGTTTACAAAACCTGGCCCGTAAATATTGCTTGTAGGAAACTAATGCCAACGGAACATCCTTTTTCAAGACTGAATATGGAGCCAGATATAACAAACTCTCAAGGCTTGAATTTCTATCCCCAGCTATCACTAAAAAAAGTTAACAAGTCCAAACCAGCGCAAATGTGAAACCTTTTATTTCCCAAAGAATCCTTAAGTTAAAATTATTTGGTTTAGCATACCTTGATACTTAATAACTTAGAGCATACTTTTGATAAAGCTTTAAGGGAATCATAGTTAAACTTTTCATTCAAGATTTTTTTTAAATTCCAAATGTGATTTGATGATATGAAGTCATTTAACAATAAATATTAAAAGCCTACACATACAGTACTCAAGACACACAGCAACCAAAGCCTAATTTTATCCTTTTTTTGTCCCCCCATACAAGAGAAAAAAAATTCCCTGTAGAAAATGTTAGGATAAATTTGTGCCAAATTTACCACTTAAAGACTAGTTAAAATGAAAAGACGTGAAATTAAACCAATAAAATACTATATTGTGAAAACCACAGAAATCAAAACTGATTTTAAATTTCAGTTGTTTTATGTACTTATTTTAAATGCTTTTACATACAAGTGTATATGTATCTATGTAAAATGAAATATGAAATTAATGTGCATGCACACACAGTTTTTATTTATACTTAACATGCAAGTTTCATTTGTTGCTGTTTTCTTAAAATGTATGTCCACACAAAACCAATTTAGAAACCTACAAGAGTGGGGTATAATCACTGTTACAAATACAGTCTAGTCTGATTTTAGGTATACCGAGTGACAACACTTATCCTCTCTTAGGAAGCACTGTCAATCTTAGAGCTTTCCAAATCAAGGCATCTTCTAGAGTTTAGGCAGTACCTTTATTTTCTAAAAATTTCATCCAACAATGATGTATGTTAACGTATTATTTTCTTGCTTAGCCTTGCAATTTCACCTTTTGAATATTTGCAGATGTTTATGCCCCCATTCCCATCTCATGTTGTGATCCAGCCAAGTTGTAAGTTTCATTCTTTCAAGCTTTCCTGTAATTTAATTTCTCCATCCCTCTACCCCTTAATTAACTTCATGGTTTGCATTGTTGGATGCTCATATTTTAAACAAGAGTCAGGCATCAATATATTTTAAACTGCACTAAAAACTGCACTAAACATAAATTACATTATAAAATAAAACATTATGAGCTTCTGAAAATGGAAAAAAGAATGGTATTGATTACAGAAGAATTCTCACTTCCTGTAAACATTTCTATCTCCCTCTCTCTCACACACACACACATATACACACACACACTTTAAAGGAAAGCCAGAAACAAGAGTTTAATTAAACACCGCTACTCTGAATTTCAAATCACTGAATAAACAGATGGCCATGCTTCATAGACCGCCAGCATTCTATTTCAATTAACTGAGATTTGTATTAATGTAATGTCATGGAACCTAAAAGATTTGAACAAAATAAATAAATAAATACTTTAAAAATATATATATGTGTGTTTGTGTGACAGTTATACATAGTATAACATTAAAGTGTTTACCACTATATAAAATTGGTACCGGCAAAAAGAAAGGAGACTTCTATTTAAGGCCATCATTAAACCCAGACATCTCCTTTAAGTATATTAGGATGCTTGCCTGTACTTGCATTGACTTCAACTCCAGCCGACTTCGTAAAGAAATTTTAAAAAAACTAAAGGTGTCCACCTCAGCTTTTCCACAAATGATCTCTAATATTGGGCTTATACTCACTAATTATTATCATCCCAAATACTGCAATATTTAAATATATTTGCTTACACAGGTAAGCATTTATTAAACTAAAATCAATATGGTGTTCCCTGAGTAGAAGTATCTTCTGACACTTCTGCATTCAGTAGGACTTTCCTTTGCGTAAGTACTAAAAAGGACACTTACTAACATTGAACTTAAGGGTGAACACACAAATTTTCAACAGCACAAGACAGACTTAAATACAGGGGAAATTAGAAAGGTATATGACTTCAAAAGCAACACAAGATATTTCTGATGCTCTTCAGCCTCTGTCAAGTTTTAGTTCTACACCCCGTTACCTTGCACCCCCCACTATTTCTGTAACAGGACTCTAACTCTGCAGTACTCTTGGGATATAGTTTACATTACCTAAAACTGAACTCTGCCGATTTTTTCCTCCCTCCCTATACTGAATGCTGATAACTCTGACCATTAACCAGTGGTCCAGATCACAAATTTTGCCTCCTGACATAAGCATCTACGAAAAAGTGTTAAAACGAGTTTTTCTGTTTGAGACTGTTCATACAACTACGAAAAAAAATGAGATGAAATGCAATCCTTTCAACTGCTTTTATGTGGGAGCTGCAAAGCAAAAGCAACTCCCGCGTAACTTCACCTTAAGGCTTTTGTGTTCTACAGTATTCACCCAGTATCACGTAACAATACAGTTATCTTTTCAATGTCTGTTCCTGACAAGTTAAAAACATCCTGGCTTACATTCTCAATTCTTACATTGCAGTGTGAGCTATCTTCCTTAGTTATCTTTTGGTTGGGTTTTGTGGGGTTTTTTTTTTCTTTTTAATTTTTCCTATTTCTTCAGTCCTGTTGCATTTAGCAGACCTGTTGACAAACTTGGTCTTTTTTCCACAATCGGTATCTCCAGTGCTCAGCGTGCCAACTGACAGAAAAGCTCTGTGTGACAGCTGGCTGATAGGCATCAAATGAATAAAATACTTTTGTGTATCTGGGATCCCAAGACTTCCAAAGAAGAGAAGAGAAGCTACCCTAATTCTTACGTGACTTTCACAATTTCTGAATAAATAATTTCCAAAACACTTATTCTAGTCATAAGGTCAAGGTTTTGCATTTTCCCCCTCCTTTTGAGAGGAAAAGAGAGATGAAGAACAAATTCACTTAAATATTCACTTAAAGTAGTACTTCAATACTTTTGGAAGGAAAAATGCAATTTTGTAGCAGTTTTGTATTGAATCTGTTCTTATGTTAAAAGGACCTCTAATTAGCTTACTCCTTTACAGAAGGCTTCCAGTCACAGAAGTATACCGTGTTTAACACACTATTAGGCTTATAACAACACTTGTTTACAGGAGGACAAGTCCCTTAATACCTAACAAACAGAATACATCCTTTTTAGTGCAACACAAAATCTTCCGAACAGGATAAAAGTTCATGCGGTTGTTAAAAAAAAAAAAAAAAAAAAAAGTAAAATGACCAATGTAAGCAACCAACGGAGATAAATTCATAGATTTCAAGACAATACTGACACATATATGTTTTATATGTAAATAAATGATACGCATGTAGAATGTAGTCTGGAAGTAATGTTACTATGTTAATCCACCACTCACAGAAATACTTTATTTGGAGTTTGTAAATTAATTACAGAGAAAGATAGCAACTTTTTGAAATATTTATAAAAGTAGCAAATACCTGAAGTACTCACAGCAGTGGAGTAAGGGGTATGAGCTCCTGTATTTTCAGCCCAGCAGCCGCAACCATAAAGAGCTGCCTAAAGAAAGAAGTGCATCTTCCATAAATTTAAGTATACAGGGGTTTTGGTCTGTTCCCTTCCCTTAAAAAAACAAAACAAAAACCAACCAACATCAAAAAACCCCAAACCAACCAAAAAAACCCACAAGAAAAATCCAAGTATTAATACAAAAGATAACTAAGAAAATTGTAACAGTCAAAATTGCATCCAGTCCATTTTGCTACATCTTCTTTTACTATTCTTCAGAACTGAGTGATTATCATAGATGTATGGTATTCTAACCTAACTTTCCAGAAAATGAGGGTAGATATCAAAAGACAAAATATATAAATAGGGAACAGCTAGAATTAAAGTTCCTTTCACTCTACTATTCCAAAAGAAAATCATAAATACATTTCAAAAGAGAACTGCTTTTAGGACAGTGACAAAAGTCAACCAAAAATACAGCTGTACAGCAATGGAGTATGACATTTCTGATGCACCTCAAAATTTCCTCACCTAATAACAATAAGGAATGCCTATACCGGATGTGTTCTTTTAATACCTTTGTTACTTCTATGAATTCACAAGATCATTTGAAAATTAAATTAGGACAGCTTCCCTAAATATTGATGAAAAACTTATTTAAAAACACTCTAAGCATTTAAGAGACTATTTGTGGTATTAAGGAGGTATTTAAGCTCAAGAAATTAACTTATCAATAGCTCTGGCAAAAGGTAACTAATGACAGAACAACTTCTTACCTATCAATGTTTTATAACACCGATGGAGGACACTAAAAACAAAACTTGCATCCCAATGAAGTTAATGCCTTCAGAGTTTAATGGGAAGGAAGGGAGGACATCAGTTTGCTATCACAGCTCTTGCTTAGTGTCACAATTGCTGAACAATCATTCCCAACTGAAAGTGTATAATCACCTGACCAACTCTTCCAGGATGCTTTAGTGCTAAACCTCCACTGGAGACAGCAGCAGCAACATTTCCTTCTTGGTCAACAACAACCGCACCAACCGTATCCAATGTTCCTGAGTCATTCTCCTGCAAGACACACAAACAGAAACAACTACTAAAAATAGTATATTAAAGTCAGATTATACTTCTTAGGAATGTGCAAACTAACGTGCACAAGATTAAGTGACAGGCCGATCAACAAAACAGATTTGTTATCATGCATTTTGTACCAATTGTGCTGCCATAAATCTTCCCAAAATGCTCTCTTGCCTCAGACAGAACCCGAAGAAAACTCCTCTGGAAACAAGAGGGTAATAAACATCTCAGAACTTATCTAATGCTTAGATTACCTGCCTTTACTCACGGAAGTGCCAAAAATTCTGTTTTCTTAGTGGTGGGCACTTGACCAGTAAGAAATGATTCAGCAACACATTCCAAAGATGCCATATCCAAAGGCCTTTCCCAAAAGCTTTGAGATGGCATTTTCAGAGACTCTGATCTTTAAAGCTATGTATGCTTAAAAAAAAAAAAATCCACAAGAAGCCACTTACCATATAAAGAGAAAATTCTGATATTCTGAGCAAGACTAAATAGAAACCTTGAGAAGAAATCTCCCCCAGGGCAGATTCTTCCTCCCAGACTTGTTTTCAGTTCAGCAATCTTTAGTGGCTTCCTGGTCAAATTACCCTTCGCTCCCCCTGGGTCACTAGAAAAGTGTCCTTACTTCCACCACTGCTACTGAGGCAGGTTTGCTCCCCTAAGGAGCAGGGGTCTTTCAGCATTCATTCCTGATGCAAGCTCTCTGGTTACTGTCTCACCTTGGATCTTTCTGTCCTTCCCCTCTCCCTTAATACACCATGTTCAGTCGCTCTAAGAGAAAGAGCAGTTTTCCCCTCTCTGCCTAGGCTTGCCCTAGATTCCCTTCTCTGCAGAACCCAGGCCAAGGCACTCTGATTTCATGCCCAATCACACACTTTTGATGGGACACAGCATGCAGTGTACATAAAATGAATAAACAAAACCGATACATCATCCATCACATACTCCAAAGAAGAATGCCGCTGTTGCACAAGCCCTCAAGCTTTTAGCTTATCAGTCCTTCATGTACAAAAAAACCCAAAAAAAACAACCCAACTTACCTGTATTAAAAAAATCCTATTTAAACTTACCCAAGCAAATAATCCCAAAGGATATTAAGCTATTCATACAAATTTATATTTTCTGGACTAGGATCCAGAGGGAGGAAGGAAAAAAAAAAAAGAGATCTACACCCACCTATTCAATTTCGAATTATCAAGTTCCTATCCTCTATTAAAATTTCCTTGGGCATGCAACGTCACTTGTCAAGCAGAATTCTTAAGACACTCATGCTGATGATACTCTGGCCGTGCTCAATTTAAGAGATAACACTGGAGTTAATACTGCGGAAAGGAAAAATATGCAATGCAGCACTGTAGTGTTCTACAGTATTTTTCAAGCAACTGGAACTCCTAAGCAGGAGTGTCATCCTTGGCTTTTAGTAACAGGAACTTTCTTCTCTTTACCTACACCTAGATCTTCCTGAACAAGTTCTACACTCAGAAGCTGGCACTAACCATATTCAACATTAAAACAAACAGCAAAGGGGGTAAGAAAAGAGCAAGTTCCCTTCCAAGTTGTAAAGATAAAAGACGATTAAGGAACCTTCCCTTCCTTAACATCTCATGGGCAAATGTATTTCACATCTCCCAGGACTGCCAGCCACAACCTAATTCAGGTATTATTAACTCAGTTAGAACGACACTGTTTGGTGGATTGGAAAGATCTTACGCAGCAGAGCAGGCTGCACACTGGAGGTGCAGAGTCCCATCCTTGGAAGTTTCCAAGATCAGACTGGATAAAGCTCTTCCCAATATGAATTTTCCTATGATCTTATCATTTCTATATAGAGAAGAACTACTAATATGATGCAGGTTTTGTTGTCCATCCCCTGTCCCTGTTATCAAAGGAAATTATACCCACAACAAAAAACTTGATTAATAGATAACTACAGATATGAAAATCAAGGCCAAGGTTAGGAAATGCCAGAATTAAGGCCACCTGTGTAATCTTAATTCACATTAAATCAAACACTTGGGGCTCCCATAATGGACAGAAATACATTTTAGAAGGATGAGGCTCAGTATGGATCAGTATGTTTTCCATATCATCTGACAGCAAAGAAAAAAATGCTTGTAACCTTCTTTGCAGCATCTGTAAAACTATTTACTCAGTCTGCCATCCATCTTCTCCTCTAGATCTCACATGCTTAAATATTTGCCTTCAGTAGCTATATAACTAATTTCTTTTTTTAAGAGATATTTTAATCAAAAAAACACAAGCATGGACAAGTATATGTTGCATGGAAACTTTCTTCAACATTATTTCCTTCAAAAGAAGATCTATTTCATATCAGTATTTGCTGTCAGTTCAGTGGTACACTTTGCCTGCTTTGGCTTATTTTATTTTTAGATGGGGCAACTTAGGAGGCTGGAAACCTTTTCTAAGGAAAGCATTTTTTTTAACCTGTCCCACACAACCTTATGAAGCAAATCTTTATCACTGAAGCAAAGGAATTCCATATTTTCCTTCTCAGTAATATAAGTTTGGGATTTTTTTGTGATCAGAAAAAGAATCACTGCTGATTCTATATTTATCCTTACTGAACAAACTGAAAACCAGTGAGGACCAGTTCTATTCCATACCCAATGGGAAAAATATGTTGTTGGATCTATTCTAGACCTGTTTTTGTTTGCTCCCATTTCAACATTACTGATTTCACACACTTGCAAATGACACCATGAATCAATTCTACAGTTCGGTACTAAAAGTCTTCTACATAGGTAAATGGTACCAACAACCCTATTTCTGAACTAGTGAATGAAGAGTTCATCGCAATTTAACAAAGATACTCCCTGCACCTCTCCACACAAAAAGGCATTATGCACCTGAGGAAGAATGCAGCTGGTGAGAAGACTTTCAATATCACACGTTTCAGCTTTTCAAACCATATGAATGTTGACAAATACAGGATCCTGTCAAGCTAATATTCAGACAATCAATAGAAATACATTAAACACTACAATTCCCGAAGTTGTTTTAAAATTTAAAAAAAAAAAAAAAAAAGTAGGCAAATTTAACATACTGTCAAAAGTCTAAAATAAGTTCAAATTTTATATGGGTTAAGCAGGGACTAAACGAGATCCAGCTTGCTTGCCCTTACCTTTTCATGTATTTGATTCGTTAATTTAGCACCTTAGATTTCAAAATTTTGCAAGTCCCAAATGAAACTTGATTATTACGTGGTGATATCTGTTAACTAATTCCATATCTGACTTCAGCTAACAATTTATACTAAGATATCCATTGCAAAAGCAGTTTGGGGGTTTTAACAATGTAGTATTGCAACCTAAAAATAATCTATTATGCAGTTAATATTTTACATGGAAACAACCGAAAATCAATGTCTAAAGTAAGATCTCACATTACTGAATTAATTTGCACCTTGTGACAGGAAAGGAAGTTAATTTCGTGAAATCACAGACCAAATATTCAAACTTAGCTAGGAACATGCACACAAAGCAGGAAGATGCTCATCCGCACAAATGCAGAGCTTTGTTGAATATTTTAGAAATCTCAGCCTTCCCTTCTTCTGCACATTAAAAAAAAAAAAAAAAACCACCCATAAATAGTCATCATTTTACAAGCCCCTAAGGAAGGGCTTAATGGTTTAGGAGACCTCTACCCAGTGCCTGCTGAAAGATACCTACACACAGAGCCTTCTCCATCTCGCCTTGAGATTGTTCTGAAATTCTGTGAAAGGTAATTACCATTAAATCTCATCTCTGAGTATCATAACTGACAAAATGCAAAATGAATCAGATTGAAACAATTAACATCTATATGCTATCACCCAACTATCCATACAAATAAATAGGATTTGATACTTGATGATAATTAGATCAAGTAGATCCCCCTGAAAATATGGGGGTTCTTACAGCATCCTCCTACTCAGAACAGGGCAACAGATAAAGCTTCTAGGATGTCCCATGTTGGCCGTTTACAGATCAAGAGGGAACAGAGAGGAGCACAATAGTGGTCAGCATGATCTAGAAAACAATATATCAACAATCAATATACTTTGGACTTCCAAAATTTCAGATTTGAGGTGCCTTGATGGAGCGCTTCTGCTGATTACAGAGTATTTAGCAAGGTGAGAGGCGATCTTTTAAGCAAAATTTTATTTATTAAAGTATTTTAAAGAAATACTTATAAATCCATCTAAGTCAAGGGAAGACGTCACTATTCTGTGAGCACTGGGACCAATTAATACGTACCAATTTCTAGAAATGTTTTCCTCTAGGGCAACTGACAGCATAGCGTGATGTACTCTCATAGCAATCTAATCTTGACAGAGTATGCATGATTAGTGCAACATTCATATGTTTGAAAAGAGGCAGTTAACGATCTAATCACACAAAGCTCGATAAACAACCATAGTCTTTCCAATTTAATAGTTGTTTGGTATGTAAACAGAACACTTTGTCTGACCTCCATGTTCAAGATGAGGGAATTATTTCATACTGTATTCCACAGATGAGTTTTGTTGGTTTGTTTTGGTTTTTTTAACTGGTATGGATGAAAAGTATTTAGGTTTCTTTTCCCATATTAAATGGATTTTGAAGTATAGTTTTGAAGTCTAAAAAGTATTATGACCAAAGACCATTTCAGCATGGATGTGGGACAGAAAATTTATTCTTTTTTTAAGGAGAAGGAAATGCATAAAATCCAAACTCCTGTTCAAACTGCAAGAATAAATAAGACACTAGGACTGCCATAACTGACTGCTACACTTACAATCACCCTCACACAGCCATAAAAAAATTTGATTTGAAGAAAAAGTGATTGAAATTCACCATATATAATGGGAATGATGCATATTGCTATGCGTTGACTGTTGCTCACCTAAAGAGTACAAAAGCTGGAACTGGCTAAAAGTTCACATGGTATATTCAAGATGATCAGTGACAAAAAATATAATGCACAAAATACTTCAAAGAAAAGAAGCTATTTCTGTGCAACAAGGAGAGACATATTTTTCTTTTCTAAATATGTTCAGTGTTATTGTCTCAATATAGTAGCTGAAGAATATGAAACTGCTGTTTCCATACATATAACTCAAACTGTTGTGCACCTACTTGAGTACGTATGTTAAGCTAGATAAAAAACAAATCAGTTTTAATAAACCTCAAACTAAATAAATGTTATTTATGGAATTAAATAACTAGCCTATAAAAAAAATAACCTATAAACACTAACCTATAAAAAAAAAATTCATGTGCACTGTAAATTCTTAGTGCCACTACTATTCAAATCAAGGAGAGGACAGCTCCTCTTACAAGTAACTTCAGCGTAGTTGTAAAAAAAGTTTGTAATAACAGATGAGAAATTAAAAATAAGGCTTTTAGCCATACTCTACTAAGCTATTTTCAATGACAATTGCCTCTGGTAAAAGACAGGTCAACAGTAAGAAGACAAACATTTACTTCTGATGTTTACTGGTGCTTGAGGTGAGAACTTCAGAATGGTATCTGGTTGAATTAACACATCATAGCCAGTCTCCCTATGAATAAGTTTAGTTAATTCACACTCAAACAAAAATGATTTCTTAACTATGTAAATCGATACATGTCACCACTACTTCAAAGAAAAAAAAAAAAAGTCTCAATTTTCACACCTTCAAAATTCAGTGAAGTTCTTAACGGATCTCCCTATGTGCAATCACATAACCCTCTACAAATGGTTCATTGGCCAAACAATGAAAAATACAGCAAAGAGAACATTCCATTTACTGGGAAGAGTCCTTTAGTAAGTTACACTGCCTAGTTTTTCCATACAATCTTCATTAAACAGCCTCTTATTCTTTTTGAGCTTGGTATAATTTAACTTTTATTGAAAAGTAATTTTTAAAACTGTATGTTGATTTTTAGCTAGTGAAATTTATCAGCAGCTAAAACTTCCAGGTAATTTCAGCCTATTTTGGTCTACAATACTATCTCTTCACATAGGCCTTTTAGTTATGATTTCCATTCAACTTCAACTTTGTTAACATCCTTTCTACCTTGCTCTTCCCAACTTCTAAAATTTCTAGACAAAAAAATGACCAGAATTTTTAACAACTGTGCAGTACCGGCACCAGAGGCACATAAGCTAAGCTGCACCATAGGGTTGAAGCAGGTGAGAGTCAAACTAGACAATGCAACAGCTATCAAGCCCTGCTGAAAGGGACAGGTGTGCAGCGCCATAGAAGGACAGCAAATAAAAAAAGCTAAATGAGCATTTATCAATTAAAGCTTAACTTTGACAAGAAGATTAACTTTTAATTATTCAAGTATATAAATGGTTTTTAAACAATTATTTTTAAATCTTTTTTGAGAGCTCAGTTTTGACAGTACAAGTTTTGGGATGACAGATCATGTGCCTCATCCTTGCTAAATGACCCTTTTCTAATAGCTTAGAGAGAATTATTCTACTTTTTTTTAGAATTTGCTCTTGTAGAATTTGATTTTTCATTTCTATTTCATTTTGAAAAACTAAACTTCCAGTAAGGCTGCAATTATCTTACGCTCTGTGGATAAGAGCGATAACACAAGCAGTCCACATTGTTAGCACGGTTTGGTTTTCATCCCCCCTCCATGGACAGGATGTGCCCAGAAAGCTGACAAAACCAGTGTGTTACGTTACTGGATTACTTACCGGTGAGTAGAGCTCTATTTGATCACCTCCTTTACCTACCATCATTGGCCTTTGGGGGTCTCCCACAAGCGCTGCACATGACTCTGGAGCCCTTGAAATTTCAAATTGCAGGTCGGTAAGCTCATGCATTGGCATATGTTTCAAGCATTGACTTGCCCCTTATTACATGAACATCAATACTGCAGAGAGACCCCTCCTCCCTCAGTTACATTTTAACACCGTTAGTTTCACAAGGAGGTACGTGAAGTTCTGTAAACAGGAAAAGTTCCAAAACAAGTACTAATTTCTTCCCCCCTCTATCCTTACTGTCTTTACAGGTCTTACCTCCTTGAAAATGGGAAAAATTAGCACCCTGCTAGGGAAAACTTCTTACATAAGAACATGGAAGAAAAATACCTAATTTATCACTGGTTTGCATTTGCACAGACTACAGAGAATAAGCTTTTTTGCCAATTCTCTGGGATTTATACGTTATTTATACCAGAATATGCAACTACGTAAGGCAGTGGTCAGTCAGCTTACCAAAGCAAAGAGAAATGGCCAATCCGAAAGGCTACAGGCCCAAATAAAGCATAGGCATTTAATTGAATGAGCTATACTTCGATATTCAACAGTAAACACAAATACTGTGATTGACATTCTCAAATGGTAACAAAGGCTCTAAATTCAAACTAAGAGTGAGGGGAACAGAGGGAATCCTAATAGTTTTGTAGTACAAGTAATATGGGCCAGGTCAATGCTAGATGCATGCACAGATGCACATGTTTACCTACCTGATATTTCAAATTTCACCAATTCCAGCTCCATAATGCAGTGCGCTCAGGAAACATTAAAAAGTGGGAAACAGTGACAGAGATCCCAAGCTAAAGAAAATGTTTCAGTAAATAATTATCTGTTTGTGTTTACATTTGTCACATTTCCAGTTCAAAATGAGCAAAATGTTTTTCACAGCACAAACAAGATACAAAGTGACAGTTTGGTTTTCAAATAGCAAGGCAGAAAGTTTTAATTGCACTAAGTTATCATTATATCATCTAAATATTAGGGTGGTCAGGGAGAAGTGGCTTCTGATGCTACATTAGTCTCATATACAACATGAAATTTATTAGCAATCAGCTGTAAGTTTAGGTTCACGCAACAAAATTTTAAACAGGAACTAACCTTTTCATTTGATTGTCGTCTTTTCTTTAGTTGAATGAGATCTGTTTCCACCTTTTCAGCCAACTCCAGCTTCCTCTTGTTCCTCTTAAAAGCTGCTAAACTAAACCCTATAAAAATAATTCAAAAGCATTTAACTAAGTAAAACTTACTGATTAAACAGATATTTATAAGTTTACATTTTGGAGGTCATGCCCCCCCAAGTATTTTTATTGATGCAAAAAGCATCAATAAAAAAAGACAACAACAAAGTATTTAAGTTTCAGTACAACATGTTTACTTATTTTCCTAAGAGAAAAAACTGCTACTATTGTTCAGCACCAGTGATGGGTAAAAAATCTAGTAGAAACAAGTCGCTGAACACATATGGAAGCTATGTTGGTCTAAATATCTCTGTTTGGCAAAGAAGCAGCACTGCACAGAAGAGAATGGAATAAGCGGCTTGTGTTAAAAATTATTGTTTTTGACTGCTGACAAGTAAATAGATACCATGTGAGCTCATTCTGATATCCATAAAATTAGGCTACTATTTTATTACCTTAATTGCATATCTGTATGTTTACCCATATATTTAAAGCCACACAATAGTCTAGCAATATTTTTATGTTCCATAACGCAACACAGTATAAAGACCACCTAGGTCTTGAAAAGACAAACATGTATTTTCCACATCTAAGTCCCACATTCAGAAAGGAAGTGTTCTCTAAAGTGGAGTAAAAAAAAAAAATTGTCATGCTTCAGAGACCAAAATGACATGTTCCCATTTTAGAAGTTTCAGTTCATGAAAAAAATTACAGATATTGACATATTTAGTTTAAATTAGTTTTGACTTAATATCATCCACAGATTGTCTTAACATCCCCTTTGAAATGTAGAGAAAAGAGGAGGGGGAAAAATGTCTTTTGTCACTTGTTCAGTCATGCAAAATCAAGCTATTAGGAGGGCAGAGGTACACACAGGTAAATCACAAATTCAATGGAAGTTAAAAAGCACAGGTTTCCTATTTAATCTATTAGACTTAAAAAAAAATGTCATTTTAAATGAAATTCTGATATAGCTACATCACTATTATTCAGAAGACTGGAACAGCTGCAAGAACAGTCTATGAAGAAAATCAATATTGCAGAGCCAACAGAACACAAAGCTTTCATTTACAATTCTCAGTGTACACAGACAGTGAGCATTTTACTTCTTTGACTTCCCCATGCAGGTGCCAAATTCACCTAGTGAAGTCTCCTTTAAACCTGTTTTTAAGTACATAAAACTGGACCTTGAACTACCAGTTATTCAAGTGTATAACCTGAAAGTAATGAGAAAGCTGACATTTCTCTCCAAAAACCTAGTGAATACCAGTTTCTTAAAACTGTAAACACATATTAATCTGCCATCACCAAGAAAGGAACTCTTTCTACCATACAGAGCTGATTAATGCAGCTACTTTGGACAACACATTTCTATGTTTGAAATGAGGTCCAAGAGGTAAAAGCAAGCACTTGATAAGGGGGAACAGGCAAAGAATCATTTTAATCTAGTACTAATTGGGGATGGGGAGGAACAAACAAAAAACCCCACACAGATCAAGAATTTATTAAACAGAAGTGCCCCAAAATAAACCAAGCCAGCACATTGTTTTTAAAAAAATCTGTTAAACAGAACTTGTAAGTTGACAGGAGTTCAATAAATATAGCAAATACCTCTGGGCAGAGCCAGAGTGTGGATAAGTAAGAATGGTGCCTGGCCTTGGCCTACATCAAAAGTAGGTATCACACAGGGATAAATATGCCTGTTACCTACTGCCACCATTGCCTCCTGCCAATTCAGAAAAAAGGTGTACAAGGGTGCAGGAGCCCATACATGAAAACTTCAACATGAGAGGTGTTCCTCGTACTCCAGAATCTAATGCTAGCAGTGTCCTGAAACCTGCAATATTTGTATATTCACCAGTTCAAATACATGCACAAAGATCACGTCAAAACTAGAGAACACATGGGCTAGTTCCAAGCTGCCCTGCCAGCTACACAGAGTGCTGCTATATGGCCTCTCAGCATTATCGCTCCAACTATACCTTGGTTGCTACTTATCCTGCCATTTTTTCCACAACATATGAAATTCTCCAAGCTTAAGAGAGATGTTTCATTCACTTCAGTCCTCTGTCTCTAGCTAAGCAATTAAACAATTTTCAGATTTTACCTTGTGCTTTAAGACTATTTGTCTTTTTAAAACAAGAAAAAACCTGAAGGATTTGCTTTGAAGGATCTAATTGTTCACAGTAACTTCTTATCTGCATTGTTAATTCAAAGTGGTATCAGTAAGCTAGGAAACACAGGGCAGAAAACAGTTCACTATTAACACAGAAGTATATGTTTTACTAGGTAGTAAGAAACACTACATATGAAATTAGGCTACCAATGTACCACCTTGTCCATGTTTACAGAATGGATGACTATCCTACAAAGCAATAATTTTGGCTAACAAAAAACTGTGCCTAGTCCCCAGGTGTCAGAAATATTTTCAAATTCCTAGGTAGCCTAACTGCCTTTCAACTGTATGCCAGGATAAAGACTTGTTATGCATTTTTTTTCTCTATTGCTTTTCTTACTTTGCTGATCTCATAAGTGGGAGAAGTGGTGCAGTGCATCAAGGACTCTTTTACTGGATGATCAGATACCCAGAGCCCCAGGAGATGCTGTGGTATGCATTTTTTGCATATCTTAGTCAGACAGACAGATGAAGAAAGTTTTCAAGCAACATACAATGATGTATGTTGGAAAGGACCTTAGGAGGTTGTGTAGTCCAACCTCGTAAGAAAAGCAAGTCCAGTTTGAAAGAGCTGCATAGGGACTTGTCAAGTTTTGAATATCTTCAAGGGTGGAGATTTCACAGCTCCTCTGGGCCTCTGTTCCAATATTTGATCAACCTGACATTAAAAAAAAAATTTTTTTTTTAAATTAGTCAAAACCTCACATATTCTAATTTATGTCAGTCCTCTAGGATCCTATCCCTGTGCATTAACCATAACTAATATAGCACTTAAATGCACAATTACAGAACAGTCTACATTAGAGTACTAGCATGTTTGCCAAGTAAAATACTTTCCCAGCTTCCTCCATCACAATATCTACAAAACGTAATCATCAGCTCCTATTTGTGACAGATACTGTGATATTCGCCACATTAGAAAGTTCACACTGTTAGACCAGATAGAGATACTAAAGAGGTGCCAGTCATAGTTCTGTACTTCCGGATGACATGAACTTCGATGAGAATATTCTGAGGGTCGGGGCGGGAGGATTGTTTTGGGGAAGTTCTTTTTCAGGGGTGGAAGAGGATAGTTTTTTTAATATCATGCCTCCTTTCCCAGAGTTACTTATATGAAATAATACATTAATTCAATAACTGCTAAGTTGTATTCAGTTTAACATGAAACATTATACCTTTCAATACTGTGAAGGAAAGACAGTCTATTCAGACTTCCCCTAGAGTGGAAATTCTTGCACTCAGGCTACCTTCCACTTCAGAAGAGTTATTAGGAATAATATTCATTTGAAAGTTGAAGATTTTGGTTTAGCAAGGACTGACAAATAACTGACTTTCATTATTTAGGGGAAATAATTATTATCAGTCATTATCAATTCCTCCTGGCAGGATAAAACAGCTGATACCTCCAAAGTGACCAAAGAATTGTGAAATAAAGGACCGGTTTGTAAAACAAAGCCTAGCAATTTCTCTTTTTTCCTCTGACATAGATTTATGCCCAACTTCAGATAATCAGTTAAAAAATAAATTGTCTTGAATCTCCCCCCCGCCGAATAAGGGAATAAAGACTAATAGCAAGTGAAAGGCTGCCTGCCCTCAGTTTATCCCTGCCTTTGAGATGTGCTATCTATGTAAAACCACTATAAATGCCATTAAACTGGCTAGTAGCCTGGTCATTTTGTCTTGCTCTACAAGTGACAAAAGAAACTAGAAAACACAAGCGAGCTTCATACTAAACAAATGAAAGATGACATTAAAGTTTTCTGAAAACATTCTGTAAGTTTGGTCCTTGTCAAAGAATATATTATGGGATTTTAAGTTCAATAAAACATTTTATGAACTAAAAAACCCCCAGGATTCAAATGTGCTTGGTTAATGATGCATACATAACATGGAAAAACAACCCACTGAAAAATTATTTTGAAAATAAGCACTACACATAGAAGGAAAAAGCCTACACACAGTTTAAGGTCATAATTCACATTAAAACAAAACCACAACTTTGTGGTGCAAGGATGCTAAGAAATTTCATTTGTCCTAAATGACAGTGCAAAAACCACTCTCACCTTCTCCAACAAGACAGCATATTCCAAGCTTGAGAAGAGGAAAAGGACACAACACAGTGTTGAAGACAGGCATGTTTTCCTAAAACAAATGCAATATAGCTACATCAGCCTGATGCCTGGGCCAAGGAGAAAGGGAAGCAAGAGAGAGCGAGCTTGTTGACTGGGGAGGGGCGGAAGCCAGAAAAACAGAGGTAAGGGAGTACATGGAATTTTAGTTTGAAAAATTCTTGAATCACAGCCCAGAGGTATTGTTGTTGAAATCTATGGAAAGGTATTTAGTACAACATCCTTTGATTTTGTTCAAGAATTTAAAAGTTTAGATGAAAATCAAATATGTGCTTTCATATAAAAGACCCTGACAATTTCTACCCTACACAGTAACAGCATGTACACTCAAACTCATTCTTAACTGCATCTCGGAAGCCACAGAGTACAACCAGCCCTTCTCTTTTGCTTTCTCATTTATGTACATACTATCATAAATAAAGCTGCTTCAGAGCTGCTGGGAGAGGGGAAAAAAAAAAAAAGAACAAAAAACCCCACAGCTTTACAAAATGATTGTCTGTTAGTGTTTAAATGCCATACTCAGGCCTCATCCAGATTAAAGACATGCAATGACAGACAGCAGAAGCATTTCAGAACTAGAACATTATTAAAAGCTCAGGACTTCAGTCTCGCATTTACGGTATTTATCACATGTCCCTGAAATGCAGCATGGGGTGCCTCTAAGAGCGAAGAATCTTCAAGGACCCAAAAAGATCTTCCCAAACCTCCCCATTCTCCCTTCA